GTGTGTGTGTATGGCGTGTGATGAATGATTCAGCTCACACAAATGGAGCATTGGTGTACCACGAGTCTCCCCTATGCATTGTGGTCATCAAATAGGCAACTCCTCATGCATTCATTAATGTGACTCTGGCTAACAAAGAGAATGGTAATAGTAAATAATGCAGGTACAAATCCAGCTCCCTCTAGTGTGACTTGCACTGGGAAGGAAATACTCACTAGTTGGGAATGTGGCTGTACTTTTCTCTTTTCATGACTTTAGGCATTTCCGAGAGGTTAAAGCCTATTCTGTAACCAGCACTGTGAAATTTGGCTCAGAAAGAAGCTGTTGCTCAGCTACAGTTTCAGTTTAAGGAATTGAGGTCACGATGCAGTGTGATCTGTTGAACCCTATTTGTATTCTTGGCATATTTATTTTGGTCATGACATTTATTTAAATCTTTCATACTTCTGCGATTTCGAACTGATCCTGATGGAAATTAATGCTTGTGATGAAATGCAAACAGTTAATTTGAGGAGCTGACAAGAAATGCTCAGCTGACAAGATGCAAATGAAATGAGTTCCAACTTTGCATGCTGCTTTAAAACATAAACGCTGTACAGCCGACTTTACAGCTTGAAATCCCCTTATGTCGCTGCTCTCTTCATGTTCTCAGAGGCAACACTAACAGTGAGAGCGCGAATAACTTTATCCGCATCTCACTGTAACTAAGCCAGCCGTGAGTTTACTGGGCTGCTGTGTAGGATGTTAATGAATGGCATATTATCTGTCCCAGCAGTGATAGAGGCAATAATCTGTGCACACTGTAAGTCCGACCACAGAGAATGTATCGTAGTAAAACAGCTTAAATCCACTTCGGTTTATTGGTGACAAGAGCCAAGATGGCCAAATCTTTTCACTTGGCTCTACTTTTTATAGACAGGGAGCTATTTAGAATACAGATTATATTCACTGTAATGTTGGAGTTATTACATTATTGCCTCTGATTAGAGCATAATAATCAAAATGTTTCTTTGACCCAAACTGAAATTAAATTTCCTTTTGCTCATATGCTCAGTGTTTGTTCTGACTTGTGTACTTATTTGATCAAAATTATAGTTACCAAAAATAAGATTTTATTCATTTATCTGCAGTGATAGCAACACTATACATTAGTGTTCTGACTAATGATGTTGGTGCTGGTAATTTGACTGGTGCAAATTTCTGTTTGACTTGAAAAGAAGCCCTAAAATCAAAATCACCAGAGGATGAAGATGATGCACACAATAATGACTGGATACTGAATGTAGTTCCAAGAAAACAATTAAGGCACCATCAGGGAACCATCATTTTATGTGACATAACTGCACTTTTTATTTCCTGGACAAGATTTAGCCTCACACAGCGACACTACACATCTCAAACTCGGTTGTCACTATGGGCTATTATTTTGGAAAGTATCTAATAATGACTGATTAAGCGCAGTAGCTGAAAGCCCAACCAGTCAGTATAGAGACTCTTTGAAACTTCCAAACCTTGTAAAAACACATTTAGGAGGCATCTGTCACAACAAGGAAAGTGATTCTTTTATAGAAAGGATTCATGTTAAAGTCTGACTTTCAGAGAAAACTGTCAAACATATATTACACGGACAACTTTAAGTGACATCCAAGCAAATAACCAGTCTCGCCATCTCTAAACAAGCGAAGTGTTTGCTTTATAAGGTTAAAAGTTGAGTGGCGGAGACAAAGAAAATGTCTCCAATAACTTCAGAAAAAAACTGTTTTACAATCATTAGCCCCGCATTAACTGCCCAAGTATTCTTTACCAAGTGTAATTAATCATCAAGCGTCTCATCCAAAGTCATTTGAAGTACTTAAAATGTAATTATTCAGTGATGAACATAACATTTCCAGAGATGGTGTGGAGATAAACCAAGGACACAACAAGGGTTTAGCCACCCCCGCCTCTAGAATATGCTACTGTCAGATTTGGAGGGCTCATTTGTTTAATGTG